TCATTTTACTGCTGAGTGGTGTGCCATTGCAGTCATACAACAATTCAGATTTCGTTCTTAATTTCAGGGATGATTTCCCTTTTATTGGCTATTATGCCCAATCTCCTATCACCTTGGTCACACCTGGTTCTAGCTGCCACTTAAGTGAACAGTTTCACATGTGCTTCCATTCACTTACCGTTAACAGCACTTCACGCTGTCAAAAAGCCTGCTACCAACCCATACTTGGCTCAAGCGTGGTGGAGTGAACACCCTCAAGGACACCCCTCAGTCACTGGGGGATAGAAGCGCCTGTTCCCTATTTTTGGATAGACACTTTGATATACATTGTGTATCCCTCTTGAAAAGTATGATAGAAATTAAGGCCCTATTGCCTATAGCAGTGAACTTGATAGCACAATCTTGTATTTACTTTTTCTCCTCTCTCACTCTCCCCAGTATATCACTTCTGCCCTCAGCAGTCACTTCCCAGATAAACTACCTGCACACAGTCCTTTTCCCAGGCCCTGCTTTTGGGGGATCCAAGATATATATCTATGAATATTTTTCTTGGGTTTTATTCATCTTGATGGCTTCTGGGAAATAAGACTAAGGTAGGAGCCCTGCTAAAATAAGGGTGCTCCATTCTGCTTGAGAATCTTTTGTATCTTTTCTTGACTATCACTTTGTGAAGAGTGTGGCTTTGTGCTTTGTCTCTCTGTCCTTAATGCTGCTGGAGAACCAATGTACCTGTCTTCCTGTCTGCTTGCTTCTTTGCTGCTGCTCTTTTTGTATTTTAGGGGCACCAGTTATCCTAAAGTTGGATTATCTTGTACCCAATTTTATTTGATCTCCTTATGGGGTTTTTTTTTTGTTGCTGTTTTTTTTTTGCGGTACACGGGCCTCTCACTGTTGTGGCCTCTCCCATTGCGGAGCACAGGCTCCGGACGCGCAGGCTCAGCGGCCATGGCTCACGGGCCCAGCAGCTTCGCGGCAGGTGGGATCTTCCCGGACCCGGGCACAAACCCGTGTCCCCTGCATCGGCAGGCGGACTCTCAACCACTACGCCACCAGGGAAGCCCCTATGTTTTTCAAAATCTGTATTATCTGATTATCTTAGCCCTTATGTGTTATACTTTTATTTTCAATTCTGAGTACACTCTTCCTTTGTGTTTCCTAATTAATAGTTCTATAATAAATGTTTGATCATCGATTTATTTAATCTTTAGACTCCTTTTTTATCTCTGTTGTTTTTCCATCTTTCAGTTCTTGCTTATTCACAAATCTGGAAGCCCTTATGAAGAATGTATCGTTATATTTTTCTTCTAGAGTTCTTTGATGTCCTGTATGCCACATTCCTTTCATTCTTTTTCTTTCAGTCCCTGCCCCTCCCTCTCCGTATCTCTGTCTCTTTCAGTTTGTTTGTCTGTTTTTGATGCCTGTTCTTTTTCACTTACCAGTGCTTGACAGCTCTGCCCAGACTTTATATTTGCTTCCGCATTGTGTGGGGGACTTCTTCACTCTCCATTTCAGAATTGTTCTTGGCTCACCTCACTTTTGTGATTACAAAAATATAAACTCTGCAGCTTTCCACTCCTCTTTTGTCTCTCCAGGAGGTCGTGGTGACCTGTACACGTTACTCCTGAGTTCTGACTTGGCATATTTTTGCTGGCTAGTTCTGATATTTTCCCATCTTCCTATAAAAGTTCCTCCTCTGATTCTTCCTGCCCATGCAGCACAATATCAGGATTTACTCCCTGTAATTGGGGAATGTGTTGTGTTTCCATTGGGGAGGCCCTCAGATTCTGCCCTAGAAGCTTCACTTGTGCTGGAGATCACTTCTCTTTTCCTCATTCTTGCCCGCAGTTCTGTAGCATCTCTCAGTCATAGATGAAAAAAATAATGGAATTCATTCAGTGTTTTCTCTCCAGATTTGGGTATTAATGAGAATAGTTAATTCAGCTTAGGAGCCTTGCCAAACAGGGCTGCCCCATTTCTTCTCAGAGTCTGGTGTATCTTTGCTTGGTTACCACTTTTGAAGTTTATATCTTTGGGCTATGCCTATCATGTGTATTTTTTGCTGGAGAACCAACCAGCCTGTGACCTACCTTCCTTTCTTTCTCCTCTCCGTTCTTCCTTCCTTTTCATTTTAATTTGATAATGGGTAGGAAATGAGAGATTATGTAAAGAAGACTTCTTTCTACTACTTAATCCCAAAGTCTTTTTGGGTTTTGTTTTTAATTGTGGGAAAATACACATAACATAAAACTTAACATCTTTTTTTATGGTTTGTTGTCTTATTGAAGTATAGTTGATTTATGATCTGTTAATTTCTGCTATACAGCAGAGTGATTCATTTATACATATATATACTTTTTCTATATTTTCCATTATGGTTTGTCACAGGATACTGAATATAGTTCCCTGTGCTGTACAGTAGGACCTTGTTTATCCATTCCATATATAATAGCTTACATCTGCTAACCCCAGCCTCCCACTCCATCCCTCCCCAAACCTCTCCCCCTTGGCAACCACAACTCTGTTCTCTATGTGTGTGAGTCTGTTTCTGTTTTGTAGATAGGTTCATTTTTGTCATGTTTTTAGATTCCACATATAAGTGATATCATATGGTATTTGTCTTTCTCTTTCTGACTTACTCACTTAGTATGATAATCTCTATAGTTGCATCCATGTTGCTGCAAATGGCATTATTTCGTTCTTTTTAATGCCTGAATGGTATCCCCTTGAATATATGTAACATCTTCTTTGTCTGTTGATCTGTCGATGGACATTTAGGTTGCTTCCATGTCTTGGCTACTGTGATTAGTGCTGCAGTGAACATTGGGATGAATGTATCTTTTCAAATTAGGGTTTTCATCTTTTCCGGATCTATGCCCAGGAGGGGGATTGCTGGATCATATGGTAGTTCTATTTTTAGTTTTCTGAGGAACCTCCACACTGTTCTTTTCTTTTTTTTTTTTTTTTTTTTTGAGGTACGCAGGCCTCTCAGTGTTGTGGCCTCTCCCGTTGCGGAGCACAGGCTCCGGACGCGCAGGCTCAGCGGCCATGGCTCATGGGCCCAGCCGCTCCGCGGCATGTGGGATCTTCCCGGACCGGGGCACGAACCCGTGTCCCCTGCATCGGCAGGCGGACTCCCAACCACTGCGCCACCAGGGAAGCCCCACACTGTTCTTCATAGTGGCTGTACCAACTTACATTCCCACCAACAGTGTAGGAAGCTTCCCTTTTCTTCACATCCTCTCCAGGATTTATTTGTAGAGTTTTTAATGATAGCCATTCTGACCAGTGTGAGATGATACCTCATTTTATTTTTGATTTGCGTTTCTCTAATATAAAGTTTACCATCTTAACCATTTTAAAATGTACAGTTCAGTGGCATTAAGTACATTCACATTGTTATGCAACCATCACCACCAACCATCTCCAGAATATTTTCATCTTGCCAAACTGAAACTGTCCTTATTAAACAGTTACTCCCCATTCCTCCTTTCTCCCCAGTCTCTTTCTTCTTGGTTTTTTAAATTTACATCATATAAGAATGTTTCTGTGCCTTTGTAAAATTACTATTGAAGGTATTTTCTATTTTGGTCTTCACATCTTCATGTGTATATAACTTGGTCTTAGAATTTACTTCTAGGAAAACTTTGTTCCTACCGACTTGCTTTATCTCTTACGAGGTAAAAAGTGCTGTGTAGATTCCCTTTGCACCTTGGTTGCCAAGAAGCCTGATTATCTTTAGCTTGAGTTTGCTGGCACAATTTCATACCTCCATTTTATTTTTATGGTTTAAACCCCCTCAGAGCTCTTTTGGAGCAAATGAGGTATGGTAGAAGAAATAAACTTTAAGTAGTGTTTAGTTTGTATCAGAGAATTTTTTGTGTTGGTCCTAGGTAATATTTTTACATTCCAAAGTTCACAACTTATTTGTGAGATAAAGATTAAAAAATTGGCCTTTGTTGGAAAAAATGCACTATGTAAGAGGTGTGAGTTGTCAGTTTCAGCTTTATTCAGGGACCTTACTGATGACTGTATCCTGGGAGACAGCCACTCAGTAGCTCTGAGTAAACTCCGAAGAGGTAGGGGGAGAAGCCAGTTTAATCATGATTGTTGGGTGGGGAATATGTGCAGTCAGGCTTACATCTCAGTAAAAGATGACAGCTAGTCACAAGGAACAGATATCTCTTAATGATTTTGGTGCTTTTCTAGATATGGGAAGATGCAAGAATCTGGTTATTAAAATTCTTCCTGAGATATACATAGAACTATCTAAGGGGCCTGTTTTTCCACAGTACAGTGTGCCTCATCCTGTTTTTTGCCCTGAACTCCTCTCAGGGTTCATTATCGGTCAGAAACTGCAGTGGCTAATGACTTAATCCATGTATAACTGGATGGTGAATGACGTTCCTTTTTTTTTTTTTTTCCAGTAGAGTTTAGTTATATCTAAGATAGGCAGAAGGTCTTATAGGAGAAGGTTATGGGTAAGTTTGAAAGACATTATGTCCAAAATGCGGGATCTTATTTCCCTGACTAGGGATTGAACCCGTTCCCCCTGCAATGGAAATGCAGAGTCTTAACCACTGGACTGCCAGGGAAGTCTCCCAAAATAAAACCTTTTAAAGGAAGAAGGAAATAATATTTATTACATGCTTATTATGTGACACAATTTTGTTAGTCCTCACAAGAGCCCTAGTTTATTATTAATAGATTTATTATCCCCATTTTTCAAATGTGAAAACTTAAGCTTGTTGATGTAAAATGACTTTCCCAAGGGCTCATAGACAGTAAAAGTGGAACTGGAATTTGAATTTTTTTTAAGAGAAATTATAATAGAATCTTTATTACTGATGTATCTGTTTTGGCAGGAACATTTTGTAATATAAACATGAACAGTTACAGCCTTTATTCTGTAAGTGCTTTGGAAGTATTTATCCACTTCTGGGAAAGTATCTTAAGGAAAAAAAGCCTTTTTTTGTAAAGGATACAGTAATTCAGTTCCTAAAGGCTAGAATTTAAAAATAAAGACTGTACTCTGAGATTTAAAAAATCAACATACACTTGATGAGCAGAAATATACAGAGTATCTTAAAGGTAAATGACAGCTCCTGGTCTGCAAGTTTTGACCTTTTTTTTACGTTAATGAAATTCAGCAAACGACTTCTTTTGATAATAGGGTAAATATTATTACTAATAATGGAGATAGTGACTTTAGTTTTATTCCTTCCCTTCTGAACACTTACCCCTCTGAGGAAGATTAAGATTGCTTCTTCTTACATTCTTTACTTTTCCTATTTACCCCATTACTCCCTTTCCCTTCTCTCTCACCAGCCATGACTTGTCCATTGCAGAGGCTGCGTAAGGATTGAGGAAGTGGGCAAGAAAGATGAAGACAGTTTTAAATTCATTATGGCTGTACTGCTATCTTCACTGTTTCGTTTTCATGCATTTTTTGTTGAAAGGGTATCGATATGACATAGGGGTTGAAGGTAGGTTCTGGTTATAGATAGCTTGTGTTTACATCCCAGCTTTTCCACCTAAGCAAGTTACATAAATTCTCTGTACTTCAGTTTCATCATTCATGAAATGAAGGCTATAATAGTATGAAAGTCATAGGATTGTTTCAAAGAAAAATCAGGCATAATTTGAGTTCCTGATGAAGGCAGTAGTTCACAACTATGACTGTGCATTACAGTCATTCAGTGAGCTTTTCAAAAATACGAGTAGGGACTTCCCTGGTGGTGCAGTGGTTAAGAATCCACCTGCCAATGCAGGGGACACGGGTTCGAGCCCTGGTCCGGGAAGATCCCACATGCCGCGGAGAAACTAAGCCTGAGAGTCACAACTACTGAGCCTGGGCTCTAGAGTCTGCGAGCCACAACTACTGAGCCCACATGCCACAACTGCTGAAGCCCGCGTGCCTAGAGCCCATGCTCCGCAACAAAGAGAAGTCACCTCAATGAGAAGCCCGCGCACCAAGGAGTAGCCCCTGGTCACTGCAACTAGAGAAAGCCTGCGCACAGCAACGAAGACCCAACACAGCCATAAATAAATAAATAAACAAACGAATAAACTTTTGATAGAGGCTGGGGGTCAGATTTTCCCCCCATTATGTATTTGTTTGCTTGTTTATTTAAATAGCATGAGATTTTTGTTTCTTTTATTCACTGCTGTATCCCCAACTCCTAAAACAGTGCCTAACACAAAAAGATTTTATGAATGAATTAAAAAGAAAATTATCTTTGGTCCCAGCAGTTCATCCCTTCTCTTTTTGTAAAAAATAAATAAATAAAAAGTTTTTAAAATTTATAAATATAAAACTCATCCTTTTTAGTAAACAGTTCTATTTGCCAATTTATGGTCAAACCCTTTTCTCATCTTCAACCCCTGGCAACCACTGATCTAATCTTTATCCTTACAGTTTTGGGTTTTCCAGAATGTCAAATAAACTGAATCATACATTATATAGCCTTTTGAGTCTGGCTTTTATCACATTGCATAGTGCATTTGTAGCTCATTTGTGTTGTGTCTCAATATTTTTTTTCAATTGTTGAGTAGCATTCTATTGAATCTGGAACAAATATATTAACAATCTTGTGCTGTTTGTTCTTTTTGATTTTTAGCTTTCAAGAGTGTTGGATCTTCCTCCAGAATACTTGATCAAGTCAATATCTGCAGTTCCAATTTCCAGAAAAGAGTTAAGTATAATATATTTGTAATGATCTAGAATGTGGCTGGCTTTGTCAATATACGAAAAAAGTTACTCTTCAATTTACAAAATAGTCCTTGAAATTAACCTTAATATATGATTTAACCTATTATTCCCATGGATTTAAATAATAAAATTAAAATCTGTATTTTACATACTGACATGGCAGATTATATTAGTATTCTCATGTTTTGATGTTTATTCTAATAACTATAATTATGGCAGTCTTTAAGAAAAATTTGGAATGAGGTTCGAATTTAATTCTGTAACAGCAAATAAAAGAACTAAGGTTGTAGTTAGATTGTAGTTAGAAAATCAGTTTTTAAAGGGATCTTAGAGATTTTACACCTATCTAATACTTGAATACTATTGTGCCATATTTACCTGCTAGATATTTTTTTGCAGGTTTTGGTTTTTTTGCTTGTTTCCATTCGAGGCCCCCCCAGTGATAAGAGAATTACTGGTTAGGACTACATACAACCTATAGTTGCTTCTTGGATTCAGAGAGATATCTCTTTTGTTTGGTCATTCTTATTGATACCTGTTTACGAGTTGGCTAGAAAACTTCAAAACTTGGATAAAATACCCTCTCAGTTAATTAATAATGACAAGAAATTAGCTACATAGTAGGCATTTAAGCCCTAAGCTTAAATTATCATTGTTCCATTATGATATAATGATACCATTATGTCCTTATATTTTGTCCCCTTAACTTTGTCAGGATTTTAAGATTGAGTAGAATGAATGTTCTTTTTCCCAGAATAGGACAAAGAGATGAGTGGAGAAGAGAAAGGCTATGTATGGCCTTGTAAAAGAGAGCATCTTTAAAATGGCCTGCTACAACTTCATCTATACTGAGTTCCAAGAACAGAGGCAACCACTGACCAAAAGATGGGCCATATAATTATATGTAAATTGATGTAATGTTGCAAACCAGTTACCTATTTCATAAAATCTGTAAAGGACATTTTGCATAATAATGGGAATGTCTCAGTTTTTATTTTATGTTTCAAAGACCTTTAATAAGCTGAACCGTATTGGCCCATCTTTTTGTCTTTTTTCTTAATTGAAGTAACATTGGCTTATAACATTATATAAATTTCATGTGCACAGCATTCTCTAAACAGTATAGCGTGCTCATCGCCAAAACTTCAGTTTCCATGTGTCATCATACAGTTGATCCCCTTCACCCATTTCACCCTCCCCCCTGCCCCACCACCCCTTCCCCTCTGGTGACCACCACTCTCTCTCTGTAGCTGCATGTTTGGTTTGTTCACTTACTTTGTTTTTATTTCTTATACTCCACATATGAGTGAAATCATACAGTATTTGTCTTTCTTTGTCTGACTTATTTCATTTAGTGTAATACCCTCGAGGTCCATCCACATTGTCCCAGATGGCAAGATCTCATCTTTTTCTATGGCTGAGTAGTATTCCATTGTTTATATATATACCACATCTCCATTTTAAAAATTTTTTATTGGAGTACAGTTGATTTACAGTGTTGTGTTAGTTTCAGATGTACAGCAAAGTAAATCTGTTATACATAAACATATATCCCCTCTTTTTTAGATTCTTTTCCCATATAGGCCATTACAGAGTATTGCATAGAGTTCCCTGTGCTATACAGTAGGTCCTTATTAGTTACCTATTTTATATATAGTAGTGTGTATATGTCAATTCCAATCTTATCCCTCCCCCACCTTACCCCCGGTAACCATAAGTTTGTTCTCTACATCTGTAACTCCATTTCTGTTTTGTAGATAAGTTCATTTGTACCCTTTTTTTTAGATTCCACATATAAGCACTATCATACAATAGCTGTCTTTCTCTGTCTGACTTACTTTCACTTAGTATGATAATCTCTAGGTCCGTCCATGTTGCTGCAAATGACATTATTTCTTTTTTATGGCTAAGTAGTATTCCATTGTATATATGTACCACATCTTTATCTATTCATTTATGGACACTTAGGTTGTTTCCATGTGTTGGCTATTGTAAATAATGCTGCAGTAAACATAGGGGTGCTTATATCTTTTCAAATTAGTGCTTTCATATTCTTTTGATAAATACCCAGAAGTAGGATAGCTTTATCATATGGTGGTTCTATTAACTTTTTGCGGAATCTCCATAGTGGCTGCACCAATTTACATTCCCACCAACAGTGTATGAGGGTTCCCTTTTCTCCACATCCTTGCCAACGCTTATTTCTCACCTTTTTGACAGTACCTATTCTGATGTGAGGGGATATCTCATTATTGGTTTGATTTTCGTTTTCCTAATAATTAGTGATGCTGAGCATCTTTCCATGTGCCTGCTGTCTTGGCCCCTCTTTTGAATAAGATTTTCTTTACCTGCTTGCAGTTCCTTTGGGTAGCTCTACTTTAACAATCTGAAATACCAGGACTTTGGTTTATAGAAAATAAATATTGGGGAGGACCTCAATTTTTCTAGGCTACCAGTCTAAAATTCTGCATATTAAATTTGTTTACAACAAAGGAAAACCCTAGCTTTGCCTTCATAAACCCAGTTATTCTTTAGGGTACTAAAACAAAGCCTAACTGTTCTTGATTTTTGGGGTTTTTTTTGGCTGTGTTGGGTGTTCATTGCTGCATGCAGGCTTTCTCTACTTGCGGTGAGCGGGGGCTACTCTTCGTTGCTGTGTGCAGACTTCTCATTGCAGTGGCTTCTCTTGTTGCAGAGCACAGGCTTTAGGCATGTGAGCTTCAGTAGTCGTGGCTCACGGGCTCTAGAGCCCAGGCTCAGTAGTTGTGGTGCCAGGGCTTAGTTGCTCCATGGCACGTGGGATCTTCCCTGGCCAGGGATCGAACCCATGTCCCCTGCATTGGCAGGTGGATTCTTAACCAACTGCACCACCAGGGAAGTCAAAAGGCTAACTGTTCTATATTTCTAACTTGATTCTAAAATGCTATAACATGCCAGGAGAATTAAGAAATTTTATTTTTGTTAATTTGGTTTATTTAATGTGATATGAATCCATTTGCTCATGTCTCCTAATTCAGTTATACAGTTTTCCCTTGAACAACATGGGTTTAAACTGCATGGGTCCAGTTATACGTGGATTTTTTCACCTAGCCTGAACTATGGTACTACATGATCCATGGTTGGTTGAACCGTGGATACAGAACCGTGGATTTGGAAGGCTGACTAAAATTACACTGGAATTTTCAACTGCTCGGATGGTCAGTGCCGCTAACTCCCCCCAGTTGTTTAAGGGTCAGCTGAAATTTTTTGTTTGTTTTTTGCCCCCGACAGCAGAATCTTAGTTCCCTGACCAGGAATTGAACCCACACCCCCTGCAATGGACGTGCAGAGTCTTAGCCACTGGACTGCCAGGGAAGTCCCAGCTGTATTTTCAACAGTGGTGAAATTCCTGTTTAATACTGCTTGTAGTAGACAGAATTAGTAACTTTGTTGCCAGCCAGTACTACTCAGATGTATGGATTTCAGACTGAAACCACAGCAACTTCTCAGAAGCAATAGGGAAGTAGCTATTGCGTTTTTTTTTCTTTTTTCTTTGCGGTACGCGAGCCTCTCACTGTTGTGGCCTCTCCTGTTGTGGAGCACAGGCTCCAGACGCGCAGGCTCAGCGGCCATGGCTCACGGGCCTAGCCGCTCCGCGGCATGTGGGATCTTCCCGGACCGGGGCACGAACCCATGTCCCCTGCATCAGCAGGCGGACTCTCAACCACTGTGCCACCAGGGAAGCCCAGTAGCTATTGCTTTTTAAACTTATTTTTTTAATTATAAACGATATGAAAGTAGAGGGAATAGTTTAGTGAGCCCCTATGTGCCCATCACTCACGATCATTAGCACGTGGCCAGTTTTGTGTTGTCTGCACCCGTACCCACTCTCCTTCTTCACAGTGGACTATTTTGACAGCTGCTTTTCATAGTCTAGAAGTTATGTCATTTTAAAGGGATTTTTTAAAATTAGTTTTTCTGTCATGAAAGCAAAACATAACTTTAAGGAAATTCAGGAAAATACAGAGTAAGAAGAAAAAATCCCCAATACTCTTACTACATACAGTAAGACAACTGATGTTAGCAATTTGGTATATCTTTTCTCTTTTCTCTTTGAATATGTCTTTCAGCCTTAAAGTCATAGCTATAAAACAACTGTATGTATGATTTTGAACCCTTTCTCTTGGCATCATTTCTTTGAAAATACCACTTTTTAACAATGGCTTACTCTTAACGCTGCCCTGTTGATGGACATTTAGATTGTTTCAGTTCTGACTTTTTACATAGTTCAAATTCAAGAATTGCCTCTCCAGGATGTGGAGAAAAGGGAACCCTCCTACACTGTTGGTAGGAATGTAAATTGGTAAAGCCACTATGGAAAACAGTATGGAGATTTGTTTTTAAAAAAAAAAAAAACACAAAAAACTCAATTCCACTCCTGGGCATATATCCGGAAAAGACAAAAACTCTAATTCGAAAAGATACATGCCCCCCAATGTTCATAGCAGCACTGTTTGCAATAGCCAAGACATGGAGGCAACCTAAGTGTCCATCAGCAGAGGAATGGATAAAGAAGATGGTGTGTGTGTGTGTGTGTGTGTGTGTGTGTGCACGCACATGCATGCGTAATAGAATATTACTTGGCCATAAAAAAGAATGAAATATTGCCATTTGCAGCAACATGGATGGACCTAGAGATTACCATAGTAAGTGAAGTAAGTCAGAGAAAGGCAAATATCAAATGATATCATTTATATGTGGAATCTAAAAAAATGATACAAATGAACTTATTTACAAAACAGACAAACTCACAGACACAGAAAACAAGCTTATGATTACCAAAGGGGAAGCAGGGGAGGGAGGGATAAATTAGGAGTTTGGGATCAACAGATACACGCTACCATATGTAAAATAGATAACAACAAGGACTTACTGTATAGCACAGGGAACTATATTCAATATCTTGTAATAACCTATAGTGGAAAAGAATCTGAAAAAGAATA